GCTAGCTGAAAAATAAAAAAAATTAATATGGGACGTGAATCCACACCCACGTACATTCCAACTCCAACATGGTAGTAACCAGAGACACTTTCAAGGCCGCTGATCCTGCTAGACACCGTGTTGCTAGTCCCTCGTTTCACGGCCCACTGTTTTGCTGCCTTCCATTTGTATGAATCTACCAGGCTGTACTAAAGTCGAGGGGGTATATCTGCAATATGTGAAACAGAGACTGAGTCTCCCTGTGGAAGATGATCTAGCAGGTAGACTGTTTCAGGACGGTGCACAGAGTCCTTCAAACGTGTGGCATATTACAAAATACTGCAAGTGATAACTCTTGAAAGCATTAAGTTATAAACAAACACCTAGACTAGTTACACCCGAAGTCTAAAAGGAATCTTCTAAAAAAAATTTTTAAGGTGTTTGCGATAGGGCACGTGTGCTTACCAGAGAGAGAAACAGAGAGACAGGGAAAGTGAGAAATTATACCCAAGAGGATGGCCATGCTGCTATCTCTTCTCCTCCATTCCCCTCTAGGGATTTTGAGTACACATGCACATGCACCTGGCATGAATTTCAAGCCACTGGGTCCAGGATTTAAACTGAGTCGAACACGTGGGAGTCCAGAGCCTTAACCACCACACCTCCTGCTGGTCTCAAGACTTCTAAATTTGTATAACCTTTTGTTTAAAATCACTGGAACTATGGAATCTAAGTATTCAGCTTTTCAGTTCATAGACTATGTGTATTATGAAAAAACTGCATGGATTTCAGTTTTTTGAACCAAAAGAACTTGTATCCTAATTCCACTTTTCTGTGAACTTTTTGAAATTCTCTCATAAAATACGTAATTTTGAAATTATAATTGTGCTTCAGAATACTTATGGGGAGAGGGAACCAGCAGTTAGCGTAATGGCTATGTCGCTGGATTCCCACGTAGTCGACTGCCGTTCGCATCCCGGACCCGGTGGCTTAGAACTCACGCTGGGCGCGTGTGCGTGCATGCCCAAGATCCCAAGAGGAGAATGGAGGAGAAGGGATTGCGGTGTGACCATCTCCCCTGGGGGGTGATTTCTCGCTTTCTGTCTCTATGTCTCTCTCTGTCTGGCGAGGGCACGTGCCCTATAGCAAAAACTTCTAAAAAAAACTGTATATAGTATCCAAATGTATTCAAATTGAGAAAACCTATATTTCTGCAGTATATAATTTGATTGAAACCATCAAAATAAACATAAATAAAGAAAGTATGTGATAAACTTTGTCTTGTAAAAGTAGGAATTAACAGTTGGTGTAATTATGTCTCTGGACTCCCACGTAGTCCACCGCGGTTTGAGTCCCGTCCCCGTGGCTTAAATTCATGCGAGGCGCATGTGCGTGAGTGCCCAAGATCCCAAGAGGAGAATGGCCAAGAAAGGATTGAGGCGTGGCCATCCCCCCTGGGGGGTGATTTCTCACTTTCTGTTTCTCTGTCTCTGTCTTTCTGGCGGGCACATGTTGTAATTCTGTGTAGGTTTTTTAAAAAGAAAACAACCTAGGAAAAGATTTGGGATAAAATTTTTGCAAATTTCTGTATACGTACATCGGAATTGAGAAAATATATATTTTTAGCAGAATGGGCTTTCTAGGTATCTCACCATTTACAGATAATTTTCCATTTAAAATATTATGGTCTACAGGGAAGCATTAGTTAAAGGTATAATTTCAAATATATGCAACTATGACAATTTCAGGAAACTTTTTGAATAAATTATAAATAAGAAAAATGATATTGGATAAAATGTATTCTTTGTAAAAATGTCAATACCAGGTATTGGAGAAAAATATGGCTAAGAAACTGATTAAAGAATGTGAACGTGTACCAAATAAACATTTTGCTTATGCTATTTTTAGCATTTTTAGGTAGTTGATGAAAAGAAGTTTTGTGAAGTTTGGTATATGCATATATGTTATTAAGTTTTTTTAACTAGAGAAAGCAAAAAGCTGTAAAAATGGCATGTGAGATATTTAAAGCAAAGGGTACATGATTTTAAGTTGTTTTGAAGATTAATTACTGCTTAGCTGTGGCTGATGCTATTAAGCAGTATTCCATGAGAGTGGTTGGGTATCAGAAATTAGGCCCACTAAATCAAAACTTTCTGTAACTCCTCTGTTGCAGAGAAATTATTTTACTTATCGTACTAGCGAAGGGTTTAATGAAAATGATAATCCGATGTACATTTTTTTCTCATTTAAATTTCCATTTACACATTCAACTTTTCAACCATGAAACTGAAGGAGTCCACTCATTCCATAACTATAAAGCTGCATGGTAAAGAAACTAAGTAGTAGTGAAAACTTTTTATGTAAAAATCAATAAAAATTGTAGCTTTTTAAAAAATCCATTTTCATATTTCTAATCCTGAAGAATAAATACTCATCTGACTTTTTGCTTATTTTGAACAATGATCCCCAAATTCAAAGTACCTGAATTAGAGTTAAATATTAAGTTCAAGCCTCAGTGGCCATGGATAAACAGTAGTGAAGTGTAAACACAAACACAATTTATTTGGTTACCTATTCCTAGTTAGGTGTGATGGTTAAACTTTGAAATTCCACCAACTAGATAGAAGACTGCCTTAGTATTTGGGGAAATAAACACATTTAAATGAATGGGAAAATGGGAGGTGGAGAACTCAAGAATAAGTCATAAAAATAATGAAGACACTCCCTTCTATCCATCCTATCATTCCACACTAGGGTGATTTTCCCAGCAGAGATTTGGGATCTCAAGAACCCTGGTGCAGTGATTGCCAACTGGTTCGTCTGGTGCAGAAGTCACTGGCACTCTAGGTCGGTTCTCACATTTTGACCTCGACCATAGATTTTGTCGCCATGGTGGCCCCTGCAGATCATCCAGCGGCCCTGAAGGGCAGTGGCCTGAGACCTGATCACGCCTGCTGCCCATCTCTCTGATTCATGCCAGTCCTTTATCCTGAGGCGGGTAGGAAGGTCGCCCTATACCTCTACACTATTTCTATTTTTACATTTTTTTTCCCATTCCTCTCCTTCCTTCTCTTGGTCCCAAGCAGAAAAAGTAAAAGCATCCCCGGAATTTAATGAGTTAGAAAGAGCCCGACGACTGGGGCGAAGGACGGGGTCCAAAGTGGCCTTTGGCCGCAAGAGGGTTAGGGGAGACGCAAGGAGCAAACTCCCCCGGCCCATCCGGCCCTCGTCGGAGCGGATGCGACCCCCACAGCCAGCGCGTCTCTCCGGCCTGCAAGACAAAGGAAGGCTCAGGGCCGAGCGGTGACGGGGTGGGTGGGGGCAGCGACTCGCGTGAGCTC